CACCTCAAATAAACAATTAACATATTTACACATAACACGTATTTTAAGGTAAATATTTCATATCTATGTGTAAATTGAAAGTAACTACACACTCACATGATTTGATGATAATCGGGCAGCAATTCGTTTCCTAAAACGTTCGTTTCTAATAAAACTGGGAGTTTTATTGAGAAACCGGGCTCTGCAAAAGTCGGGCTTCGAAACCGAAAAGATAAATTTTCCGGGCTTCACGGGCACTTCGTGGCGTATTCCGGGGCTTATAATTGATACCGGGGCTTCGGGGGATGATAATATGAAAGAAATATGGAGAAAGGGGCTAAAAATGACAAGTTTTCAAAATACCCCCGGGAGATCTCGCACCCCCCTATTTATAGGGGCCGAAGCTCCTGATCCAACCGCTGAGAAGAGGCCACGCGTCGCTGATCCGGAGTTCGCAGGGGAAGGCTCGCACCTGCGAAGGCTTGCTGGCAGCCTCCTACTGGACCGAGGTCTACTGGTCCGAAGTCGGTTCTGGTGGTGGGGTCCGCAGGCGAGGGTGCGCAGATGGCAGCACGTACGAGGGCCTCGGTGGCGGTTGCTGATTGGACCGCGGACTCGCAGTCCATGTGCGAGGCTCGGAGTCGTGGCGTGCGAGGTTCGGATTGGGCCTCCCTTCGGTCAAATCAGAATCTGACACGTGGCTTCGCATGACTCACCATTTCGGACACGTTGCACATGCGAGGCGAGGGTGACGTGGCAACTCGTGATTATGCGAATTTTCTCGGTTTTTGTGCAAAAACTTCTAAAATCCATAACTTTCGCATACGAGCTCCGTTTTTGACGTTCTTTATATGCACGCGTAGGTAAAATTACGCTCTACAACTTCCGTTTAGACTTCGTCGGCTAATTTTGACTTTAATTTTTATATTATTATTTTTAACAGACCGGGACAGGAAATCCGTTAAAAACTCATAACTTCTTCATCCGACGTCCGTTTTCGTCAGACTTTTTACCGTTGTGCTACTATTTACGAGACCTTCGATTCTCGTTTAGGTCGTATCGGCTAAAAATCACTCGATCTAAAATTCGCGTTCTTAGCTGTCTACTGCTAAGCTGAAACTTTGAAAAATCATAACTTCCTCATACGAAGTCAGATTTGGGCGTTCTTTTTATCGAACTTCTCGGTTTAACGAACACTACGATTTTCGTTTAGATCACTAAGGCTAAAAAGTAGTTTATCGAAAACTCACTTTTTACGACATTCAGCACCGAGCCGGTTTTGTCGTGAAACTTCGACAGGTCATAACTTCTTCGTTATAACTCGGATTTCGGCATTCTTTATATATCCGTAATCCTTGTCACGACCACTACAACTTTCTTAATAGATATCGGCTTTATCTAAAATTTAATTTTTGACGCTCATTTTTATTCTTAATTAATTAACTCCTAGTAATTAAGCATAAAACACATAAAACACATAAAATTCACATAATTCCTTTTTCATTTCTTCAAAATGAGTTACAAAGGTTAACCTAGACTATCACCTTAATATTAATGCCTAGGCTAGAAACACGAGTGTTACAAGAATAATTGCAATCGTATCCGGAGTCACCAACAACCTTTTTCTCCTTCTTCTCTTCCTCTTTCTGAGAACCACTTTTGTTCTCCTCTTTCACTTTCTCTGAGTTATAGCTTCCCTGCCAGTTCCTATTTTTGCTTGAGGGAAACTTCTTCCTAGCAAATCGCTTAGGGTTAGACACCATTAAAGCGAAATCTTCGTTTGAGAGCTCGAACTCAGAATGATCTGAATCAGATCCGTCATCAATAACAGTCTTGCCTTTCGCAACCAAGGCTAAAGACCCCATCCCAGACACCACCTTTGCTTCTTTCGTTACTTCACTCTCTCGCGCCTTCAGAATTCCTACAAGCTTCACAAGAATATAGTTCTTGAACTGTTCGTGTGCTTTAACAGTTGACACCACTGCCTTCCATTCTGATCTTAATCCGTTCATGAACGTGACCTTTTGCTCAATCACCTCACGTCCAATCCCGTGCTTCGTCATCTTACTGAGAATATGATTATATCGATTGAAAGTGACACTCAGAGTTTCTTCAGGCTTTTGAACGAACTCGCCAAACTCGGATAGCAAGAGTGTTTGAGTCGAGTGTTCTAGATCTGCGTCTGTGGAATAGAGCTCTCTCAACCTATCCCATATGGCCTTCGCTGTGTCACATGAACTTACAAGACGAAAGGTATATTCTTGCAAAGCGAATCTGATGATCCTCATTGCTTTAATGTTGCTTAAGAGTTTGTCTTTTTCATCTTGAGGCACGTCCTTCACGTCAAGACGCAGTTGGTTGTATTCTTTCTGGGTTTTGATCGTTCTTTTGGTTTCTGTGTGAATGAACTGACCTAGAGTGATTGCTTCCCAAATCAGATAACCATTATCTTCTGAACCTACAACATAATCTTCAAAGTGCATTGCCCAGACTTCATATTCTTGAGGAAAAAGAATCGGGATTTTGGTTGTTGATCCGATGCTGCTTGAGATATTCAAGGATTTGATGTTTGAATCATCTATCTGCATGATGAAAAATCTTTTAATACCTGCAATTAATCAAACTGTAAACACTTATTAGGTTAATATAGAGATCACAGAGTTACGTCAACAGATCAATGACGGCTCTTAACAGATCCAATATTTGCGGAAACCCTAATAATTTCTTCAAACAGAAGAGATGTGTATTAAGTACACAGTCTCCTGCTCTGATACCAATCGATAGGAATAAATCCTTTATGATTGAATAGATTAAAGCAGGTAAACAAGAACATGATATGATCAAATAGGTGCTGAATGATTAATAGTCACGCCTCAGAAGAACTCGATGAAGAATTGCTTCTGTAGAGGCGTAAAGTAGGGTTACGAAGATAATTCTAAGAGGTAACTAAAATACGTAGCATGCATGCACCTTATATACTATAACCCTAGCAGTAAATACGAGTGGACAGGCCCAACTCGTTTATACAAAATGGACTTCAAAATAATAGGCCCAATGACGCAACACTTAATCTTCAACACATAGAATCCAAGAAATAAAATCATGAAATGTGAGGAAGTGCACGATCAAGCCTTCGCCTTCCCGCGATCATCTAAAGTACCTGAAACAAAATCCAAAACTGTAAGCCCGAAGCTTAGTGAGTTTTCCCCCAAAATACCTGCACAACAAATAACACACATATAATAACATCATACTATGGGCCCAATCAACCATCGGGTTGGAATGCCAACATACTATGGGTCCAATCATCCTCGGGATGGTATACCTTCGGCCCACAACCATTGGGTTGGAATGCCCACATACTATGAGTCCAATCATCCTCGGGATGGAATACTCTCGGTCCACAACCATCGGGTTTGAATGCCCTGATCTGTTGGCTCTCGCACAAAGCAGAAAAGCCTCAACCACCAATCAATCATGTGCACATATATCAGATAATCACATAACAGTATAAAGACAGTCAAACCGATCTACAGATCACTAAGCATAGCAATATCCTATCTATCAAGATACTGATCTAACCGATCATAACCAGATAGAAACATCCTATCTACTAGGATACCGATCTAACATATCACACTAATCATAAAGCAGGATATCAATCCAAAGGGCCGGCCTTCATGCCTTCGACCCTTGAGTATAGTGAGAAAAACTCACCTCACAAGTAGTGTTGAACCGATAAAATCGAATCCCAACTCACAGCTCCAAACTCAATTGCCTGTAACCACCATATGACTAATTCCATTAACATCCCAAATTACCAAAATACCCTCAGAAGTCAAGCTTGGTCAACCATGGTCAAATTCAAAGTCAGCAGTCAAGGTCAACAGTCCATGTTGACCCAACTCGTCGAGTTCACCTACTGACTCGTCGAGTTCCTTCATAACTCAGAAGATTGTGAAACGCTCGAGACAAATCGTCGAGCTACCTGAGTAACTCATCGATTTCTTTAGTGTTCAGAAGACCGGGAAAACCCTAATCAACTCGTCGAGTCATCTTACCCACTCGTCGAGTCCACTCAGTATCCAGAAGGCGGGTAAACCCTATCCAACTCGTCGAGTTTTCCTGTCTTAATGTGTTCAGCCCTTTTCAGTCGACTCCAAGGCTCCAAACTACAGATCTAACCTCTTAGGACTAATATACCACGTAAAGTTGCTAACTTTACATGCATGCAAAGCATTAAAGGGATTAAAACGCCAAAACTAAGCTTAATAAGAAGTTTAGGGAATGGAGGAGGGCCAAGACTAGATAAAGTGGGAAAGTTTATATCCATGGAGGCCTAGAGGTGTCCAGATTTGACACCACATCCTCTTGACAAGCCCAAATCCGAGAATGACTCCATTATACCCCAAAAATGACCATATACTTTCATAAGAAGAGATCTAAACAATAAAAGGTCAAGGTATCAACTTTATACCTCAAGGTGGTTGCCAAAACAGTATAGATGTCGGATCTACTGCTTCTCCCTTTGCTCCAACCTCTTTAAGCTCCAAGTTCCTTCACAACCACACCAAAATCACTCTTCAAAGCTCTCACACACACTCAAGAAGGTATAAGGCTCGAACTAGGGTTTTTCTGGATGATAAGGTGGCAAGGGAGGCTGGTGAAGGGACTTAAGATCCTTCAAATAGGGTGCAAACCCTAAAAATTAGGGTTTTCATGCACAACCTCAACTCATCGAGTTGGGGTCCTCCAACTCGTCGAGTTGGTTCCAAAACCATGCGGCCTTATTAGTTTCTACACGACGAGTTGGGGCCTCCAACTCGTCGAGTAGGTGTTGTGTGTTGTACAAAAATCCTTAAAATTTCGTAACTGGGAGTCGGGATGTTACTATATATATATATATATATATATATATATATATATATATATATATATATATATATATATATATATATATATATATATTAATGCATTCAAGCTCAATAACAGTTCAACCATTTTGCACTTTGTGACATGTTATGGCAACATCAAGAAGCGAGGTGGGATATTTGATTTTGAGCCATGATGAGATTAGCATGATCGAAGTTCCCGGAGATTACATGGGCTGCACATGTGAGCAATAGATGAATTAAACACATACATATTTCCTCTTTTTTAAGTATCCATTGTTGGAAAGATTTGGTTTGGAGTTAAAGTCACGGAAGATGACCCAACATTTTGAAACCCTGTTCGAGGTGTTCGACGATTTGTCTCAAAGATTAAATAAAATAAAAACAAGAAAAAAGAAAAAAGAACTAACAGAAGAAGAAGAGTTATCATGAAGAACTAATGAAGCAATAAACAATTTTTTTATTTAGTTATGGAGGTTTGTAAAGGTGAACTTTTCATTATTTTGATTTTGAGGTTTGATATTTTTCTTTGTCCAGTTGGATGAAACCCGCCTACATGGCAATGGATGTTATTATCATAAGTATGTTACCAATTTTATCAGTAAAATTGGACTTTAAGCCCCTAAAATACAAAAAAATAAAAATAATTAAAATAATTAAAAAAATAAAATAAAATAAAACATAAAACAATTTTTAAAACAAAACCTAAAGTTTATAGGGTTAAAATGTCAATTTTCCTAAAACAAAATATTAATGTCATGCTTGGTAAGATCTTAATGCCTCTTAATAAGAGGTAGCTTTAAATCTTTTAGATTCAAAGCGTTGGTTTAGATCTTATTTTTCTATCTGAATATGAAACTATCATCTTATTCGGTAAGACATGTAACCGCATCTGAAAAGAAAAAAAAACTCGTTTTTTTGCCCTAACTTTACCCTCGTCTCTCCTCTCCCGTTCGTAGAACACCAAGCCTCATCTCTTTTGCCTCTGCATCTTCGACACCCTTGCACCACCAGAGCCGCCACCGTCACACATCAAAGCTCTACGCTTCTTTTGGTATGTATTTCATTTTTAAGTGATGAAATCAACGCTATTTATGTTGATATCGATAGTTCATTGTTGAAATCGGTGACTTCACCTTCACATTTGATGAAAATGTTTGCTAATTTCTTAAAATTAAGAAGATGTTTGGCTAAGTTAAAAAAAAATACTTTTAACTTATCATGGGTTTCATACCGATATACGTTAAAAATAGTTTTTGGCCAGGACATTTAGGAAAAAAAAAAAGAACTGTTTGAAACCTATCATAAAAATCATTTTGATAAGTCAAATATTTGCTTATCAAAAACTCTTTATTTCACCGTTTAAAAGTAATTGTACCCATTTAACCTAATAACCTTATACACAACAGATTTAACGCCATCGATTGCTGCTCCTGTCGTTGTCTCCTCAAGCGAGCCTTCCCCTGCTCGTCGCCGTTAGCATCTCCTCCCCACCTGCCGGAGATCGTCGCAGCCCACAGCAACACCGGAGACCTTGGACCCCACAGCTAAGGTTCGTGTTTGTTCCTGCTGTCTAATGTCCTTGTCTTTTTTTTTGGTTCCTTGCAGTCGATTTTTTTTTTTGTGCTGCTTTCATCTTCTTTCTTTTCCTTGTTTTCTGGTATCTGTTAGATTAATTTTTTGGTTCTTGAATTTTCTGAATTTTCAATCGATACGTATTATTTGATTTTAATTGGATATAGGTTTAATGGTTTATTAGCTTTTTTGAATTTTTTGGTTCCCTGAATTTTCCATCTGAATTTTCCATCGATATGTATTATCTGAATTTTCCCGTTTTTCTTTGCCTCTGCGTTTGTTGTTTCTTTATTCATGTATTCTGGTTTCAATCAAACAAAATGATAAATATTCCGTGATGGGGAAGATGGGTTGAATTGATGATGGAAAATTTTGTATATGTTAAAACCAATTAGAGATTAGGCTGATTTGTTGCAGATTTTCTGTTCATATTTTTCTGCTCTTAACCTTAAATGTCGTTCCACCAAATTATAACCTCACTTTGAGTTTAGTTTTTCTTCATTTATAATTGGTATTTATTTGTTATTTTTGCTGATTTATTGCTGACTTTCTGTTCATTTTGTTTAGTGGGTTGATTTCTGAAATGTAAGTTGATGAAGTTGCTGATTTTGTTGATTTTTGAAATGTATATGTGTGTATAGCTAAAATATGTTTGCTGAGTTTGTGTTTATTTGCTGAACTATATTGTTGATTTGTTCTTTTTTGATTTATGTTTAATTTGGATGTTAGGTGTTTATATTTTTTTTATAGTTATTCAAGAAGTTGGTTTGATTATTTTAAAAAACAGTTGGTTATTTTATAAAACAGAAATATTTAATTCAACAAAAAATAATATATAAGGGTAAAATGATCATTTTCATAATTCAGCACAACAATTCAGATATTCCAACAAAACAACATGTTACAAATTCAGATCTTTAAAATTCAGACCCTCTTAGAAAGAAATCCAGACCTCTTAAAAATTTAGATCCCTCCAAACAGCCTCTAAGCCAAGGTGAAAAAGTTCGTACATTGGATATAAACCAGAAAAAACACAGTTTTGTTCCCCATTTTGTAAAAATAAACTCTTCGGGTCTATAAAACAACGTCCCGGTTCCTTCTGTGACCTCCAAAACCCTAACCACAAACGATTTTCAATATCCAGTGAAATCAAAGATTTTGTGTTGAGTTGATTAAAGACGATGTCCTACGATGATGTGGAGATTGAAGATATGGAATGGAACGAGGAGCTTAAGGCATTCACGTATCCTTGTCCTTGTGGAGACTTGTTTCAGATCACAAAAGAGGACTTGAAGATTGGTGAAGAAATCGCCAGGTGTCCTAGTTGCTCTCTTTACATCACTGTCATATACAACATGCAAGATTTAGAATTCACCAATCAGAAATCAAAAACAAATATCGAACCCGTGAAGCAACAACCAGTAGTTGTCGCTTGAAGAAAGAAAATTCATGTCATAAATATTGTTTTCCCCTATCCCTATTGTATCAAGTATCAAATTGAGATTTTGATCGAGTATTGTTTGTATGTTAACCTAGGGTTACAATCATTATTAATTTCTTGGTGTTTGGATTTGGGCGTTTGTAATTCGTATGATTTGATTGAGTTAACTGTAAGCTAGTTAGTTATGTCGATAGATTTATAGACAACTGGATGAAACTGAGTACATCAATCAGATTAGGATATGATTTTCTGTTTATGTGTTTGATATATTTTGAAAGCTAATATATTCTACAGACATGCATTAATCCAATCCAATAGAGAAAGCATTATGATTACCATCAGGTGTTGATAGTTGCTTAATTAATTTTCTTTAGAGGATTGATGAGGCAACATGAAGAAATAACATGTGAGAGAAAATATGGATGATTTTGAGGAGCATGTGTCCTATCAAAAAGAGGGAAATCTTAGGATAGATAAACAACAAGTAATCTAATCACTTGAGTATAAAATGAAGAATTTCATATACGAGCAGCAAAAATCAATTCAACATAACTTGAACTAAGGTTCAGAAACATTATGAACGTCTATAAATAAAGGAGTACATGTTAGTTTGTTAGAGATGTGAGAGTTCACTTACTTATGGAGATAAAAGAAATCAAAACAGAACCTGGTTTTTAGCAAACAGTTTCAACTGGAAGTCTTTGATTCTTTTTTATCAAATGAAATATGTATTTTCAACACCAAAATCTAATCTTCATCGAAAGCCAGAAGGTTTTGTAGCGCAAAAAAGGTGGAGGAAGATGGTCGTAAGGAGGGGGTAGGACAGGAGGAACTGTGAGACATTAATTAAATCTACTCTAATAAATGAAGGTTTTTTTTGCCACATGTAATACTCTCATTCAATTTGCCAAATATCATTTTTTTTGTTATTTTGAATTAATTTTTATTTCCACATGTCATTTTATGGGGTTTTCTATTTTAATAAATTCCAAATAATACTTTAATATAATAATTACAATAAATGTAGTAATAAAATTTTTATTAATGGACTTACCTTCTTATTTTAAAATTCCAAATTAAAGCTCATTAGTTTATTTTGTTTGTCTATTTAAATTTAAAAGATAAAAAAATAAATTTTAATAATTCATTATTTTTTTTATTTTTTTATAAATCCAAAGTTCTTAAATATTTATTTTTTTTAATTAACTCATATAATACATGGGTCTTACACCTAGTGTACATAATAGAGATAGTAATTAATATGTAACCTATCTAAAGCCAAGAAATTAATAAATTGCATAATTAGAGAAATGTCCTCTAATCTCTATCATCAAAATCGCTCATCTTAATCTTTTAGTTATTGCTTAAAAGTAGAGGTGGCAATGGGTCGACCTGGGTTGGGTTTGGGTTCAACCCATTTATTAATGGGGTTGAAAATTTCAAGCCAACTCAACCTGTTTATTTAAATGGGTTGATATTTCCAACCCAACCCAACCTTTCAGATAAATTGGTTGTCACCGGGTTGACCCGTTTATGTAATTCCCAACCCAACCTATTAAATAAATTGGTTAAATTTGGATTGATCCATTTAAAATAAAAATAAATAGATAAATTAACTAAACATTACACCATTTAAATTAGTTATAGACTTAAATAAAATTTCAAAGTATGACAAAAGCACAATCACAATTCACATATCCAAAGAAATTGTTCAAATACAACTAAAGATATGTAATTTCTAAGTGATTTTTTAGAGTAACTAGTGTTGTCGGTGCCAAGAAAAAAGGTAGGAATTAGGATTCCATTTTTTTAAAACATAAATAATAATACAAATATTATAATTTATAAAGTAATACTTAGATTAATACATGATAATATTTAAATAATTATTAAATTTAATATAAATTAAAGTTAAATGGGTTGGTGGGTTGAAAACGGGTTGATAATTTTTACCCGACCCAACCTATTTAATTAAATGGGTTAGACGGGTTGACCCATTTAACATAAATGGGTTGAAAATCTCAACCCAACCTGCTAATTTTGGGTTGGGTTCGGGTTGGGTTGATGGATTGGGTCAATTTTTGTCAGCTCTGCCTAAAAACAACGTAATGAACTCATGATAATAATAACAATAAAAAAAAAACAAAGTATCTTGTTTCCTGTCATTTAGTTTGAAACTAAATAAAGTAAAATTAGTAGTTTATTTTTTGTCTTTTAGTAGTTAGAAGGAAAAATGAATTTATATTTTTCTAATGTTGTAAATATTTAACAATCTTAAAAAAAAAACATGTAAACCAAGTTATGGTTCGAGTAAAATTGGGATTAGGACAATCTGTTTATTCATTTTTTTATTTCTTCGAGTTTTATCGTCTTAATTACAAATCATGTTTGAAGTGCTTTTTTGAAATTAGATCCAGTTTTAATTTCGTATTGTAAGTTTAGAATGTTTGGGTATCCATTTTGACTTTTGTCATATGTTCTCAAGCAACCGTTTTGACACTTTGTTGCAGACTTCCAATTATTTTTAAGAACATCTCGAATTACCTCTACCTCTATATATGAATTACTAGTGGTGTACCCACGCAAAGCGACGGCGACGAATAATTTCTTTCAACAATAAGTTTCTTTTATAAAAATGTTATGTTCCAAGGAAAATACATATTTAATACAATATAATCCAAGTTTACGATATTTATGAAATGATACTCACATCAAATAACTCATAAAAAACGGTTCAAGGCCCATTCACACAAAAATAATAAGAATATATAAGAATAGTCGTCTACCCACGTAATGCGGCGAGCGGAAAATACTTTGTTTCGAAAATTAATTTCTTTTGGGAGCGATAACCATTTGGACCATATATGTAAGCTTAACCACCTCCACCGTCTATCTATTAGTCATCGATGGTTTGTCTCATATGATTACTTTTGCAAAACGAAGTTGTTAATCAACCATTTGCGCAATGCAGCGGACGACTAATAATTTGTTTCGGCAATTATTATTATTTTTTATTTTTTTTTATTTGGGGGGGGGACGAAAACCATATTGACCTTACGAAAATTAACAATGCATTTTTATTTTTATTTTAAGTTAAATGTAGAAGTTAAATTGATGTTTGAGTTAAAAAGTAGGAATTTATTTATTTAAGTTAACAATTATCATTTTCAACTAACTTTCACAAGGATTTGTCAATTACGGTTAACAATTGCCACTTTTAATTAGATTTCATTTAACAATTAACGTAGAGATACTCAAAATGAAAGTATGTCATTTTATATAAATTAAAGATACTAAAGTATCCATTTTTTTAAGATTTTGTACATATCTTTGGAAATCCTATTTTGAAAAGAATTTATAAGGTCTATTAAAAACAACATATTTTTTAATAAATATGTTTCTTATAAATAAAAAACATAAAAAATATAATTAAATTTAAATTTTTTATATCCAAGGTAATTTATTTTTTTGTCTTAGCTTTTACATTTTTATGTTAATAAAAAATAACATTTTGATACGTTATTTAATTATATTAAAAAAATGTTGTAACATAGTAATATTCATTTGTTACATAAAGTTTATAAGAACATATTTTTTAATTAATAACTATTAGACACTAATAACATTATTTCACTTCTCTATGTCTTACAAATATACACATAGATACATAAATTCTTATGCTTAAATCGTATTCTCAGGAAACAAAGTAATAATTTGAATGTAAATTTATATTTGTCTGTGTTCTTGTATATTTTCATTTAAATCAATGTTTTGAAAACGGGTCAGGCATAAAACCCGTCACCATGTCAATTTGATGGTTCAACCGGCCCGACTAACCCTAAAATCCGATAATCCATGACATCATAATTAATTTCAATCTTATAAATAAAATACAAAAAGAAAACAAAGATAATTTTATGCATTTCTATATGACTTGAAACTTATTCAAACATCATAAAAAATCATATTTTCTTCTAGACCTACTTGTAAATTCTAAGAAAAGTGTCAACCACTTTTTTAATATATATTAAACAGTATGATTAAAATTAAACAAAATCAATAATATTAATACAATATTTTTCCCAAAGTAAATTTATTACAATAAATAGCTTTTAAAATATTAATGGATATGATAGGTTATTACCAACATATATAATAATTTATTATCTATGATATAATATCATTGTAATTGCAATTTGTATAACATATGTGAGCGATGACCCAAAAATCAAATTCACATAATTAATACTATAATTTATAAACAAAACCAATTTTCCAATTGAATCTTGAATATAACATCAGGTCCTTGTATATGGACAAGAAGGTTTTTTTCACTCCACTTAAAATCATAAGCCTAACAGCAGGTAAATTGAGGTTTGGAACTGGTTTAGTTATGACAAACATATGTAGCAAATGAAGGATAAAGTATGTAGGTTTGTAGGTCTTGGAATGTATTTTAACTCCACCAATACTGCCACTAATTACATCAAATGACAGCAAATTCAGCTTCAAGATAAATAACACGGGAAAGAACATCTTTTTACTTACCAAAGGTGAAGCCTAGGGGAGTGGATTACTCGAAATTACCTTTATGACCTCAAAGCCACCATCCTACTCAGTACTCATATATACTAAACCGGCTACCCAGCAGCCACCCATTAACCATGGATGTTATTGTGTTGATTACTTGGTCTTCTCTCTACTCACGTCCTCACATTTGTGTCTTCTCCCCCTTTTGAGAAACCCCATTTTGTGTCTTGCCACCACCACCGCCATTGTTGCTCTTGTCAAGATTTGCTATTAGGAACTTAGAACGGAAAGAACAAACAAATACAATTTTTTGTGATAAATCACAAATCCAAACACCAAAACACCAGAACAATAGACTTGTATTTATTTGATAGTAAAATGTCCATAAATATGTTTGATAAGTAACAAGTGCAATAAATACTTGTAATTTCTTTAGGCTAAATATAGGAAATAACAATGTTCTTTCTAAACTACAATGCTATAATATAGAAAGATATGAGTAGACACCATATAATCTTTACTATATTATTAAACATATTGTACATTTCTTGAAACTTTAAGAGGTACAAATTTATAAACACAATGTACAACTTGACAAATATGCTTCTTTTAGAACGATACTATTTTATCAAATTAATTACTTCCCTTCTTTATTCCCCCAATCTCGGCCCCTCCCAATTTTGCCTCTCACGTTTATGTTCACATACATATACATATATGTTCTTCACCAAAAACCCTAAATCACGCATCCTCTGGCTCTTTCTGTAAAAACCAAAACAACTAAATCCATCAATACATGTGTCATCGTGCTCTGCCATCGGCACTACCTTATTCTGTATATATTGTTGAAGAAAAGACTGCATCTGTAACTATAATTGTTCAAATATATATATATATATATATATATATATATATATATATATCCATCTATCTTTCTTTGTTTAAACAAATATCATCACTGGTTATGGTGAATAGACCTCGAGATCAAACACTCTCTGACCATAGTGATCTCTCTGTCTCTCACTAATGGGTGTATCCTTCCATTTTTTTTTCATTTTCTGTTGTAATGTATGTTGCTTGTCGCTTCTCTTTATCTTGTTTCAATCGTAAGAGAACTATTTTAAACGAATTTGAACTTATGATCCATTTCTACAGTTTAATTCTATGATCTACCAACCACGAGTTCGGCTCCCTGCTCTTTTTTGGAGTAATTGTCAATTACTGGCTTCTCACTTCTTTGTTTATGATGTCTTAAGCATATAATATCATTTTCACATGCTTGGAACTGTTTTTCTAAATATCCCTGAATTTTGTTTTGTTTTCATGCTTTTTTTATGATTGTAGAATGGTCATTCCCTACTTTGCTCATCAAACAATTTTTTGATTTATGTGTGTACTGTTTGACCAAGAAACCTTCTAAACTCAAGGTAACCATTGATTTTTGTGTGTATTAATATATTAGGGATCGAGTATAGTGTAATTGTTGGTCAGTTGTTTTCCATTTCTCTTTGTTTGCTTTTCAGACATGGAGTATCTAATACATGAAGTCCCTGTTAGGGACCAGGTATAGTGCACATGTTATTGCAAATGTTGATTTTTCAACCAGATTTTTCATGTTGGATAAAGTGGGAAAAACAACAATAAATCTCATACACATAGAAAAAGTTGATCAAGTCATTTGTAGCTTTTTGGTCTTTTGGTTTATATTAATGTAATCGGTCTTATAATGATTATTTTTTCGTGTAGGATAAAGTGGGGGATAGAAGTAAGAAGTGGATGCTAAGGAGGACTTTCATCGGGTCAGATGTGTGGTGGTTTGAAGGATTTCAAAGGAAGCTTCAGGGGCACATCAAGATATAAGTAAATGAAAATTTCAAAACTCAGCTCACTTTTTTTTGGATTTACAAATTTGATTTCTATCGATGAAATTTGGAAACATAATTGTTATATAGAACATAGATGTTATCAAGATCTGTAATATATTTGGCTCAAAATATGACATTAAAGGAATAGTTATGCATATACATTGGATTCTATAAAAACCAATATAGTTTGACTTTCTAAAGAAAATTAGAAGATGCGAGTTCAACCCGTTACTATCTATTTTTTTAAGTGTATTGTTCTCAAATACAACTATTGATCAAACTAAATATATCAAAAATTGGTTAATGCAATTATAAACCTATCTTGTATACATAAAATAATATGTGGTACTTTAAATAGAATTCCATTTGCTTATTAATTGAAACATTATAACAAAAATTAACCGTCTTAATTGACATTCTTTAATTAAAAAAAAAAGAATGGACATCGGAAACCAGAACTGGCTTCAAAATCTAACATCGGTTCAACGGCTAAAATATGCTTATATTACAAACCAAAACGACAATGTACTTTAAGTGTTAACACAAGATGGCAATGTACTTATGTATCAAGCTTGGACATCAATTAGGTTCTGAAAATTATGGGTTAATGGTTATTCATTTTGAAACAAGGGAAAATATGGAAAGTTCTGCTAAAAGTTGGATATATTATTAGGTCTTACGAATTCATTGACCTTTTCATCTTATAGAAGGAGCAAATAAGTAGCCAAAGGCAGGGGATGTGTTTCCTGAAATGCCCATTATCATTCAGGTCACCCTCTTGATTTTCTTGCTTGTGTTCCATTATGGTCATACGGTATTGATTATATACATTGAACTGGTAACAGGGTAGGAGCAATCATTTTCCATGACCACTCCTTTAACTTTTACTACAACCATATTCAATTGTCTTACTATAAAAAAAATTATTGGTTCGGTTTTTTTTAATGTCTAACGTGATTCAACTCATTCAAGGTTTGATGGCAGTTTATAGTAGTGTATTGTGGTGGTTCAAAACCTATGAATGTTATGCTTAAGTGATGTTTTGTAGGTTTTGTTTTATCTACTTTATTTGGGAGTTGGTCGTTTTTGACCCCATGGTCTCATTCCAAGAAATTTGAAGTTCAATCCAAGATACCATTATCCTTTTGCTGGTGTTTATTGCTTAATCTGTTTTGCTTTACTTTACTGGTGTGTTGTTGCATATGGATATATGGTCCATAATTTGACCATTATGTATTTATACCCACACTAAGCTTTGTCGATGTGATGTTTTAGTGTCCTTGCTTGAAAATTTCTTCCAAGTTAAAAATGCTAATATGTTCATGATTGTTGATGGTGATCAAAAAATTTGTTGGAAGTTTTTTCTTTACGTGGACCGTTTACCCCTACATGGAGTTTATGGTGTGTTGTGGTTTTTGTGCCCCTGCGTGATGACTTGACTGCTTCCAATTCTTTTTAATCGCTTGTTGCACTCTTGGTTGCAGAGTGTTCGGAAGTACTCTTCTCATTTTTTACCATTTTACCCTCCTTGGTTTCAGGTGTTTGTTTTTAAGTTTCTCTTGCTTTTGCTCTGTATTCTAACTCTTTGTATCTGTCCAGCTCTCTGCTGGCTTCTTAATTTATCAAATCATTTACCGTTCAAAAACTTTTAAGTTCTAATTTTCAACTTTTGTTTTAAATATAATTATTTAAGACAAGTTGATCATGGATACGTGATAATTGTTTATTTCATTATTATGTTTGGTGTTTATTTTTTTAAATAAATTGGCCTTTCAAACTTTAATGTTATGTATTTTTGGCTTATATAATTATATAATGACTTTAGCTGCAAAATTATATTTAAATTAAATAGATATATCTGTTTTGTCCTATTTTTTCCATTTATCGATATTCATTTTATCTTACAAAAACACAAATTTATAAGATAATTTTTTCTTTTACCAAAATGTTGGTGACAATTGAGTGCGGTAAATAATGTTTTATGGACCAAAATGCATTTTACTATACTTAGTGACAATTGACTGATATATATTTATTTTAAAATTATTTTAATTAATGAATTTTGATACACATTGTTTATTTTTTATATGTTACGTAGTAGAAATGTACAAAAAAAAACTTGGTTTTCAAGCGGAGTTATTTGAACTGTCGACTTCAATCCAGTTTAATCCCTTAACCAAATAATAAAACCAAGCTAATGGTTATTTTTATGTTATCTTTGTCGTGTCATATCGTGTTTGTCGTATTGTAATGAGTTTGTTTTTGTGTCAATGAAAAAAAACAAGATATCACGTCGTGTCTTGTTAGACACAAACACGACATGATTGTCCAATTTGACAGCCCTAACTAACTGATGAAAACTATTCGCCTAAAGAAAACAAGTTACCTAATAACACAATGTACTTTTAACCCAAAATAGAAAGATACATACATTTTTAAATAACACCCCCCCCCCCCCCCCCCCCCACTTATATTCAACGTCCAAATGAACTAATTGCCTCTAGAAACTATTTTTTGAAAAAACTACTCGCACCTGTCGCTTGGCGCGGGTAAACGGCTAGTACACATATAAATGCCCTTCCATCAACCGGTGAAAGTTCAAGCAAAACCAAAATCAACCACCAACTTAAGAAGCCAGTCTCGTCATTAGAATTTATACACCATCTAAACCAACTCATCAGGTGATTGCTAAGAAAAACCAATCCCAAATCAATTACAAATTAAGAAACCAATATTCTTCCAATATTAGCCTCTAAAATCATATCATGCTATAAATTGCATAACGTTTTTAGGGTATGATCTTCATTAAAAATAAAGATTATGTGATTAAGTTTCAATAATACTTACACAAATATGCTTAAGAAACTAAGAAGGGCATTTATTTCTCTTCCACCATGGCTCTCACTAACTTCCTACGGATGCAAGTCTTCATGACTCATATGCTCGCTCATCTGGATAAGAAGAATATATAAGTAGACCACATGTTCAAAGTACAATAATATGATAAGAAATGTTATTTTTACAGAAAGAACCTTGAAAATACAAATAACTATTGTTTAAATTAAGATAAATATTACTACCTTTCTTTCAAAAGATGTTTTTTTTTTTAAATTCTATGACAGTAGGGAATATTGTTGCAGTCTGTGCTTTTTTTTCCTGTATAACTTCATCAAAATGACTTATTTTTTGCATTTGAAAAGCCAATTCTTTCCCTTTTGACTCATCCTAGTTAACATTCGAACCTTCAAAATGTTCTTTTTCGTACCTACATCATATCATTCATTAGTGGCGGAGAAGGATTTATCAAAATCGTTGACAGGAAGCTACCAGTTACACTACAAAATCCAATGTCACCTTTCGAATGTTCTAACCTGAGAACAATCTGTTGTTTATGGATGAGATGCTAAGATCTGCAAAATTGGAATCATACAAAGGAGATGAGATGGGGGCACACACACAATCACATTACACATGGTCACATACACACTTTTTTGTTTTTACCACATATATACACAAAATGAAACACACATACACAAACATAACAAAACACATACACACACCCACAATTCTACAAAAATCTTATAAAACATACATTATGTGGTCAGTTTTACCTCTATGTATGCTAACAGTTCCTACTAATTTACCACAAAAGAATCAAAACAAAGGAATTTGAGTTACTGATGAGGGAATAACAATGGAAAGGGAAAAAGGTTCAAACCACACATGATGAAGGTAAGACCTAATTAAAGCAGATGTTCATGGCACAAAATGAGAAAACTGAACATCTTTGATCATGTTAAAACAATAGGTACTGATTTCCATTTCTGTGATAATACAGTAAAATAGTTGAAGAACCATCAGAATTTTGAAAAAATTTCAACAACAAAAGCAATTAGCAAAGCTAACTGACAACCACAAAAACTTACCAGATCAAAAGAATTGCAGAGATTGTGTGGGGGTTTGTCGCCGGAGAAGTAGTGTGGGGTAGGAGACAGTGCGAGGTTGAAGACAGCGATAGTGACAGTAATGGGTGGTGGTGTGCTCCCGGTGTAATAGTGGTGTGCAAAAAAGGGAGATTGAGAAAACGGTTCCTATGTGATGCCTGGTGGCGATGGTGGAGCCACTTTAGGGTTAGAGGGGCGCTGGTGTAGGTAACGACAACATCAGGAAGGCGGATGTAGCGATGACGTGAGGAGGCTGGTGGTTATGGAGGCTGCCGGAGATCAAAGAGGGTAAGGAGGGAGACGGAAGAGATTAGGGAGAAACGGCGGCTGAAGATGTGCAAAGGATTTTAGGGTATACGCATAGGAAATCTAAGACCTAACAGATGAGATCTCAGGAATACATTTGCATTGCAAGCTTAATAAAATTGTACATGATGTTATAATAATTGTACCTCTTAATTTTCAAGAAACATGTAATATGCTTTATATAATAGTAAAGATAAAAGATGATCACCAATAATCTCCACACGAACATACCCCATCAACAAAGTGATGAAACCTGTAATTATCTCTCATTATAATCTCCCTTTTTTCAACAATAGACATATACTTAATAGCTGAATGACAATCTGGAATCTCAAATTCTTAATAATCCTTAAAGGCATCGAATCCCATGAACTACTAATCATCCCAAAAGCCAACGCAAGCTTCTCACTATGTCCACATAACATCATTTCCTTTTCCCATTCCTCCATCTTTTGCATTACAAACTTAGGGTGCGTTTGGTTGTGGAAAACTGTTTACATTTTCTAAGAAAATGTTTTCAGAAAATAGAGTTGAGTTTTCGTTTTCAAATTTCAATGAAAATTTTAGACAATGCGTTTGGTTGAAACCGGGGGAGTTTTTATTTTCCATCTTAGAAATTTGGAAAACTTTGAAAAACTGCAAAAATCACTTTTCTAAGTTACATACAATTTGGAAAACTGCAAATTTTCATTTTCTTGGAAAATTTTGGAAAACTAAGGGTGTGTTTGGTTGTGGAAAACTGTTTTCATTTTCTAAGAAAATGTTTTTAGAAAATAGAGTTGAGTTTTCGTTTTTAATTTTCAAAGAAAACGCGTTTGGTTGAAACCGGAGGAGTTTTCATTTTACATCTTAGAAATTTGGAAAACTGTAAAAATCACTTTTCTAATTCACATACAATTTAGAAAACTGAAAATTTTCATTTTCTTGGAAAATTTTGGAAAACTGAACAAACCAAACGCGTTTTCAAAATATCCGTTTTTCTTGGAAAATTTTCCTAGAAAACTGGAAAATCTTCCACAACCAAACGCACCCTAAACGAACCAAACGCTTTTTCAAAATTTCCATTTTTCTTGGAAAATTTTTCTAGAAAACTGGAAAATTTTCCACAACCAAACGCACCCTTAGTATCAGGAACATATCCCACTTCTTTAATCTTTATATACAACTCCTCCATCTTTTTTAACACTAAATCCATAAAAGGATACGAATTATCTCCAACAATAAAGCTATAAACTTTCCTATCAACTTCAATCCAGCTACATCCAGGAGCTTTTGTAACCCCTCTCTCTTACCTGTAATTAATGCAGTCCATGACACGATATTTGGTTCTAATTCCCCAAACCCGCCCATTTTTGAGAAATATTTTGCAGCCTCTTTAAATTGTCCATCTTAAGCATAACCACTAAGGATTGTTTTCCATGTAACTCGATCTGGCATCACACCTTTAAGCCTCATCTGATCAACATACTTCAATGCCCTTTTGAAATCTTTCTTTGACATGTATCCAGAAACCATCATGTTCCACATGATAACATCATTTGAACTCATCTGCTCAAACAGTCGTCTTGCAATGTCCATCCTTCCACATTTGATTAACATGTCCAAGAAAGCTCTTTTGACAGAATTATTCCCTTCAAAGCCGATTTTCATCATGTAATCATATACGTCCTTCCCTGCCCTATAATCTTTGAGCTGAGCACACGCTTTGAACACTTTTGGAAACACAAAGTGATCAGGCCGAACCCCTTCCATCAATCATCAAATAAAACAGATTGATTGTCTCCTCGTAATCACCACTTTACAATACAATCCTATCACTGAAGTCCAACTGAACACATTTCTCTCAGGCATTTTATCAAACACCTTGCGTGTCTTATCTATGCAACCTACCATGCTATAAAATTCCAGTAACTGGCTCCCCAGAAACTCACATAATTCGACTCCGAAAACAATCATATGCCCATTGACTTGTAAACCTAATTGCATATTATGGAGTTTACGACAGTTTCGACGAATTACAGAGTCGGAATGAGCACACTAATCCGGGTTTGTTAAATCCATTGAGTGGAGGGAAGTGGCAACATTCATCAGCATTAACTCGTTTTCTAGGACATAATTGGATACGATTTGATGGGTAATATTGGATTTTGAAGAATTTACATACTTGGTTATGGTAGAAAACTGATGATGATGGTGGGAAGAAGATTGAAGATTTAAGCGAATTGTTAGAGGGTTTTGAAGGCACAGATTGTTGTGATGAAGGGCGAATGGAGCTGAATAAATGGCCATTGAATCAGGTAAGTGTAGATGGCGCAAAGTTCACTGGATTCATGGACAACCAATATTTTGGTGTCCTTTTTGATATTCATATTAACTTATTTCGTGCGTTCTTTCTTATCAATTTTTATTACATTCAAATAAGTTGACATAAATAATCAATATTAATATCGACTTGAAAAAAAGGATAATGACTTAAAAGGGTAATGAATTTTTCGATTTGTACATATTTGGTCACTGAGTTTTTTTTCGTCCACATTTACCCCTTCAACTTGTTAAACTGTACACATTCAGTCACTCCAGGTTAACCGAGAAAAATGACTTAATAGGGTAATATATTTTTTATTTTGTACACATTTAGTCCTTAATATTTTGTACATATTTAGTCCTTAACATTTTTTTGTTTCAAAATAAGTCATTTTTTGTACTCATTCAGTACTTATAAATGATTTTTTTTAGGTTTTTCTCACGACATCTTACGTGGGACAATCATTGATGAAGTGTTTGAGGTTGTTGATGCTTATGTCCAACGCGATCTCGACAGCCTGGTTGTGTAGGTTTTGTGGTTTGGCTTAGGTCTTGTATTTTGAACATCGTAACTTCTTCATACGATATCAAATTTTAATGATCTTTATATCCACGTGTTCATTTTTTGAGTCTACTACAACTTTCATTAAGATTACTCTCGTTAAAATGTAATATATTTTTACTTACGATTTTATAAAAAAAAACATTCATACATGCATTCATAAAAAACGTATGGAAAGGGGCAGACGCAGGAATACATAGTAGGTGTTGCCGAGATGAAATATGTGTTGCCGATACATGAAAAATAGATATAAACGAAAAAAATCGAAAATTTTTCCACTGCGAACAGAAAAACAGGTGTTGTCGGTGCAGCACCGGGACCATACTAAATCCACCCCCGCGTATGGATTTAAAAATTATAGGTAAAAATATATTATTTTTTTAATAGGTGTAATCTAAATGAAAGTTGTAGTAGACTAGAATACGAACGCATGAATATAAAGATCATTAAAATCTGAGATGATATGAAGAAGTTATGACCTTCAGAACACATGACCTAAGCAACCAAGTAGTCGAGATCGCGATGGATATAAGCATCAAAAACCCCATACACATCATTAATGAATATCCCACGTAAGATTTCGTGAGAAAAACCTAAAGAAATCATTCATAAGTACTGAATGATTACAAAAAAAAAATAAATAAATAAATAAATAAAAAAAAAGAGTTATTTTGCAAAAAAAAAAAAATAGACTAAATGTGTACAAAAATATTAAGAACTAAATGTGTACAAAGTGAGAAATATATTATCCTATTAAGTCATTTTTACCGGGTAACCTGGAGTAGCCGGTCATAAGGACCAAATGTATACAGTTTAACAAGTTGAATGGGTAAATGTGGACGAAAAAAAAACTCAGTAACCAAATGTGTACAAATCGAAAAATATATTACCCTTTTAAGTCATTATCCCTAAAAAAAAAAAAGATAATTACAAAATTGTTTTCTGAATTGTTCAAACATATGTTCAAAACTAATGAACCGGGTTGGTTACAAAACCTCACGATTGGTATTTCTTCATTATAAAATACTTTTTATCTAGCATCTTGTTCCTTTAATAAATTTAAAACAAATCTATAGTAAACTTATATTAGTCTATAAATTTATAAAAACAATAACCCATTACATATATAAATTATTAAATCAAAATTAATTAGCAAATTTTAAAATCACATTAACCTCAAAACATATCTAAACACCCTTAAATCAAACTTTTTTTTGGAAAAGGAAAATAACTAATATGCAAGCTTGGTTAGAAAAAAGGTCGTGCTATAAATATCCTTTTTTCTTTTTTTACCCTCCTAAATTCAATTTAATCAATCATTTATTTTTTGATTTGACGTTATTTTTTTGTTTTTTTACCTTTTTGTTTGTTTATTGTTATTTCTTTTCTTTTATTTATTATATTATTTTTATTATTTAAAAAAAATAAAACTTATTATTATTATTATTATTATTATTATAAATAATTAAAACTCATTAGTCGCCCACTAATATTCTCTACATAACACAAAAGTAAAAAAAACCAAAAGTAAGTATAGTAGATAAAGGATTTAAAGCCAAAAGTTTTGATTTGATTGGAATAATATTTATCATTTTCTTTAATAATAAAGAAACTGATTTGACATAACTTTAACTTTATATGTTATATAAACGATTCGTTCGATTCAATTAAATTCAACATTTGTTCTATTCATAACAACATTCATGAAATTGTTGATCGTCATTCTTATGGCAAGTTTTCAAACTAACATGGTATGTATTTTTGATGGATAATTTTAGTTTATTTGTAAGTTATATGTTATATTTGTAGTGGAATTTTTTAAACATACCAAGTATATATTTATATTTGTTAGGTGTTTAGCAATCGTGACCGTCCTCATCCGCCTCGTCGTCGTCGGCCTCACCCTCCTCGTCTTCATTATCATTTTGCCCTTGGAATTGTCTTTCCCATATGTGCGCGGTCAAATCGTGATGTAGATTGTGATGTGTTTCACAGTTTTGTATTTCCAAAACCCTTGAGAAGTATGTCGGACTGCTAACTTGTATTACTGCATGTGGATTAAGTATATTGTTTGAGGTATATGAACAAATAGCTCTACCCTCTTCTTCTATTATCATGTTATGTAAAATAACACAAGTAGTCAACATTGTCGTGAATTTCGTGTCAGATGTTTGATTATGTGTCAATTTTGTTTGAGGACTCCAAACGCTCGTTCCACATCTTTCCTTGCAAATTCTCGTGCTAACTTGAACAAATTTCGTTTTTCGTCGGTCGAAAATGAATATGACTTGACAATTGTAGCATACTCTGGATATATCCCATCACCTAGGTAATACTCATACTTATATTCATTTCTATTCACAACGTATGATATGTTTGGTGTTTTACCTTGCAAAATATTGTTAAATAAGAGAGATGCTTGGAGCACATTCAGGTCATTGTTTGACCCCGCCATACCAAAGAATGCATGCCAAAACCATAGGTCTTGATAAACAACCGCCTCTAATATAACAGTCGGGACCCCATGATCACCTCGCGTGAATTGACCACACCACGTGTTGGGATAATTTTCCCACTCCAAAT